TAAGGAAAAGCACTGGGAAGGAGAAGAAAATGGTGAGCCAGGTGGTGTAGTCTTTCAGAAAGGTACCCTCATGTAAGGAAAAGCACTGGGAAGGAGAAGAAAATGGTGAGCCAGGTGGTGTAGTCTTTCAGAAAGGTACCCTCATGTAAGGAAAAGAGCTGGGAAGGAGAAGAAAATGGTGAGCCAGGGGTGTAGTCTTTCAGAAAGGTACCCTCATGTAAGGAAAAGCACTGGGAAGGAGAAGAAAATGGTGAGCCAGGTGGTGTAGTCTTTCAGAAAGGAGAGAGAATGATGTGGGAACATCACAGCCTGCAACAAGATCTCTGACCAAGCTATGAAATATTAATTGTCCAAATTTCTAAGACTGGGCTCCTAACTACTGAATTACTATCAACTCATCTATCATAGAGGCCAACCAAGTCAAGAACATCACAGGATCATCATTTTAGATCTGGAAGGGATCCTGAGGAGTTATCTAGTACAACCACAGCATTTCAAAAGTGAGGGATTGAGTCCAAGAGAGTTAAGTGCCCAAAGTCATACAAGTGGTTGTTGGTAAAACTAGAATTTGAACCTGGGTCCTCTGATCTCAAATCCAATACTTTTTTTTTTTTAACAATAAGAGTTGTCAACACAGACCTTTCCGTATAGCTACCAGGTATCCCCCTCCAGAAATAACTGCAATCTCCAATGAAGGGCTCTTATCAAGTCATAATATTACTAACCTCATTCCCCATGCAGGAAAATAAAAAGTAGATATCCTACTAAAATAATCAGGTATTCCTACTCCAGTCATAAAATCTTTTTTGAAATATAATTTATTCTATTCTATTATTAGTTCTTCCAAACCTTAGAGGACTCTGTACACTATAACATATTCTTATTATGATAACTACAAAATTCTAATTCATCTTCATTAAAGCAAATAAAAATGAATAGACACAGTTTTCAAAGGAAGATAGCCAAGCTAGCAAGTCATATAAATATGTTCTAAATCACTGATAATTAGAGAAACGAAAATTGAAAAACAATCCCAAGGTACCTACTCACACAGAGACTGGTTAAATTGACAAAAAAAGAAAATGACATATGCTTTAAGGGATATGTGAGAAAACAGGTACTTTAACGTACTGTGGGAGCCGTGAACCGATTCAAATATGGGAACAATTTGGAACTGTCCAAAAAACTATTAAACTCTGCATAACCTTTGATTCAGAGATTTTGATCCTACTAGATCTATATTCCCACTTACCCCACAACCCCCAAAGAAGGAACGGACCTATAAGCACAAAAATTTTTATATCAGCTCTTTTTTTGGTAGGAAAACATTAGAAACTGAGGGGATGCTTTTCAATTGGGTGAATGACTGAACAAGTTATGGTACATGAATGAGATGGAATACTACTGTGCTGTAAGAAATGATAAAGGGGATGGTTTCAGAGAAACCTGGGAAGAGCCATGAGAACTGATGCAAAGTGGAATGAGCAGAACCAAAATGACTTACACAATTTAACAATATTGTAAAAAAATATTCAATTTTGAAAGACCTGAGAACTTTGATCAACACAGTGACTAATAAAATTCCAAAGGACTTGTGATAAAACATACTATCCACCTCTAAATAGAGAGTTGATGGACTCAGTGTGAGGACTGAAGCACATTTTTTTTCTTTTCTTTTTTCTTTGGACGTGGTTAATGTGGGAATTTGTTTGGCATGATAATATTTACAATGTATTTTGCTTTTCTTGCCTTTTCAATGGTTGAGGGATGGGGAAGAAGAAAGGAAAAAATTACGAACTGAAAATAAAATTCATTAAAAATAAACAAAAAGACTACATGCATGGAGAAGAATGTTAGGAAATAAAAGGGTAATGCAATTCCAAAAAGGCTAGGAATCATGGTATACACAAATCTTATTTTTTTTCAGCAACACGTTTGCCATCCTATGAAATAATGACTTTTCCTTACAAACTTCAATCTGAAAAGTTATCTTGAAAACCTGCCAATTTCACAGTGGAAATATTTTATTTTTTAATCTGGCAGAACTAGAAGGAATATATTGACATATTCCCTCAAAGCTAGAAATACTAATAGGATAGCAAAACTCAAGCTGCTAAATATAACAAAGTAGCAACCTTTCTTGCCTTAACATAACACGCCATCACAAAGTGATACAAACGTATTAAAATAAAAAACAATTTTCAGTCTCATAGGAATTGCTGTATTTCATCATATCAACAATTCAGTCTAGGGCAAATTCTATTTCTAACAGTGATTCTAAGTCAAAACAATAACTAAGGTAGGGCAGCTGGGTCCTTAACCCTGAATGAGGAATTGCTACAGGGTAGGAAATTTAAAGGTTTTCCAATATTTATTTTACTCCTCTAGGGAAAAAAAGGTAAAGCAGATGATGGGAGTAAAGATGTTGCTAGGCAGAAAATGTGACAGGATAGTAAGAGATCACATTCTAGTCTAATATAAGCTCCTTGAGGACAAGATATGTTTCATTTCTATATTTGCACCTGTGGGACCTGGTTCAGTGCCTGGCACACAGTAATCACTTACTGATCTATTGAGTGGTTGAGAAAAGAACCAGTAGCAGGTCAAGGAATCCTCAAACAGAGGCAGGGGGTGGTAGGACCCTGTTCTGGTCCAGTGAGGTAGTCCCCTCAGTTCCAGCAACAGTGGCCCTACAAGGGCTATCTTACAGCATTTCACCTACACAGATCTACTGAAAAGAGGAAGCCCACTGTGACCCTCCTTCAGTATCCCCATGCTTGTTCTGAATCATAAAACCATGGGCTGTATGCAAGGAAACCAAATGTCAACAATCTGGCCTAAAGAGCTCTGGTCTGGAGCAAGGATTACTGCCTCCTAGTCCTTGTCCTAACATGAACTCTCGGTTTATTTGTTGTCTGTAAAATGGGGAGTTTGGACAAAGTAGTGGCTAAGGTCCCCTCCAGCTCTAACAGTCTATGCATTTATGTGATTTGGTTATTTGGCTCCACCTCAGCTCAGTTTCAGTAAGACTTCAATGTCAGGCAGGGTATTTGCCCTCCTACTCCAAGATGCCTTTCGGGCCGCTTGCCCACGCATGGTACAGAGCTCCCTGGTTATGGCTCTAAAACTGGGCAAGTAGGTGATACAGTTATCCTGAGTGGTGCCAATCTCAAAAAATTAGCAACATTTCCATCTATTCTAAGCTTCTCCAATTTTTAAATGATCTATTATTTAGTTATACAAAATCCCCTTGGCCCTGTTTATTTTTCAGCCTGTATCATCTCTTGGAAGAGGGATTTTGTTCACATGTTAACCACAGTACTCCTATGAAAAAGTAGTCCCTTTTCCTAATCCTGAAACTAGACAAGTTGAGTGACAGTGGAGGGGGAAAAAAGCCAGTCTTGAAATCAAGAAGACAGGGTTTGAGTTTGGCTTCTCTCCATACTGACTGGGTGACTAGGACCGAATAACTTCTCAGTGCTTGGGTAATTCTGTAAGATTTTGTTATAGACAAGGTTTTCATTTGCACCAGTGAAGGGAGCTTCCATAACAGGAGTTCCTCACAGCAATGAAATCATTGCTGTCGTATGGGTTCCCTCCGCTTCCCAAATCAAACTGTGCTCTCTCCAGCCTCGATCAATGTTACAGCTAGATGGATTGTGACTAGTACCGCCGTGTTCAGATCACTTAAACTCTCTGTGCCTTAGTCCCCTCACTCACAGAACAGGGGAACTGGACACAATCTCTTCCAACTTTAAAGCTCAATCTATGTCATCAGTAGATGGAGGGCACTCACCCTTTTTCACATCTCTCTGACAGGAGACATTATTAATCTGTAAGCTTAGGATGTCTGCTGTGAAAGCAGAGTAGAACCACTTATTAAGTACACAAAAATCTACATGAAGTGGTCAATCATCCAAGTAAACCAAGTCCACGGTACTAAGGATCGTCATTTTGGAGCTGGAACCATGCATGAGACAAGAAAGTGAGCTAGTGTGTGTGTGTAAGCAGGGTATGGTACACTAAAGAGATTTTTAAAAGGAACCATTTTAAAAAGAACTATGAGTACTTATAAGAACTGTAGCCCAAGGGGTAATTGAATTTCTATAATTAACAGGAATCAAATCTCAAAATTATCGAAAACAAAATTTATTTCAGGAAAGAAGGAATAGTTTTTAAGTTTTCTTTTAAGTTACGTGTGTTTTCTTAGAATTATGATGTCAGATTTTCTTTTTTGCTGTTAGCTTTCCCCCCATTAAAAATGCATGTCGTATCGTGTATCACAAAGAACACTTAACTTAGAATCAGAAGGTCTAGGTTTGAGTCTTGGCTCTATTTACTATCTATGTGACATTCAACAAGTCATATTAGCCTTACTGAACCTGTTTCCAAACCTGTAAAGATGAAAAAGTTAAGACTAAATGACCTCTAACGTCCTTTCCTGCTCTAATTCCATGACCTGATGTTCTGCATGTAAGAAAATTTCATTCAGGTTGATATGATTAGCCTGTAATACACTAAATGGAACACTAGATGGTATCATATAACAAGATACTGAAGGACAGAATGCAACTCATTTTATGGAACAATTAGCAATTTGCTTTAAAATTAAATTTAATTTTATGTAATTTGACTTTTGTACATTGTAATAAAGCAGATTCCTTTTCTATACATATTATAAACAACTTCAGAACATAGCCTGAAGTTTCCATATATTCTAAAAACGAAATAGAACCTCACACAAAATATACATAACATAAGCTCTCTGCACCTCTTCTAAATAACTTTTCGATGCTGTATTTCTGACTGGTGATTTACTACTGGATTTCTTTTAAAGAAGGAGAAAATTCTCCGATGATTAAAAATAAATAGCAACAAACAGAAATCCGTTGTGTGAATGCTGGCCATAGAGAGTACAGTAACAGAAAGCACATGGAAGAAAACGTTCGAAAGGGAAAAAATGAGCCACCCAGCTGCCACTTAGTTCTTGCTCCACTCACCTTGGTTTTTTCAAAGTTGGCTTCCTCTGTCATCAGCACAGCCTGTTTCACTTGCTCATAGGCATTGGATTCCATTTGCTGCATCTCTGACAAAGTCTTCCTTACTGTAACTAGCGCAGACATTAATTCATCTCTTTCCCTATCAGCAAAAGGAAAAATTCAGAGCAAGAAAAGATGAGGCATGAATATACTCCAAACATCAGAATAAAGTGGAAGTGAGGATTTAGATGAATTCAAAGGATAAGGGGAGTGCCAGCTTGGTACACCCTTAAATGTCTCTAAGGAGAGTCCCTCTGCCCAAAAAAAAAGGGGGGGGGTCAACTAAATTTTTGAAAAAAGCTGCAGACATTCATTGCAGAGCTGTATCTGGGAGTGTCAGTAATCTGTTGTGTAATAAGACTAGGAAGAGGCTGCAAATTGATCCTTGGGGAAATAGAAGACACTAATTCAATCTGAAAAAGACTGAGGGGTGGGGAGGATGGGAAGTAATATGCTGGGGAAAAGAGAGGCTATAGCTAGTAAATAAATGCAAGTATGTAAGAGGCAGGGAGTAAGACATTGTGCATTGCTTTTTCATTTGCTCGAAATCCACTCATTTCCTTTTCACAAAATACAAGTCTCTTTCCCCTAAATTCAAATGTTCCACATTTCCTACTCAATGACTCTCTTCCTCAAAATATAGCAAACAAGAATTACCATGGTCATTTTAAGATCACTCTCAGGCGTCACTCACTGGCACAAGACTAGGTATGTTAAAGAAAATTAAATACTTACAACAGCCACCACCCATTTCACTGTATCCACTAGAATGCCTGCTCCATAAGCAACAAGCTTGCTTTTATCTTAAGCCTTTCTTTTTTCACTCTTTCCATCTTCTAACTCTCAAAGAGACTGGATTCCCTCCTAATGACACAGCCTTCTTGGCCACCCTTTCTAGCACTGGCTGCGCTTTCACTCACTCCCTCTGACTCCCTGGTTGAGGTAGAAGAGCTGGGAAATCTCTTGCTTCCACTGCCACTTCCAGGTTGTCCTTCTACCATCATCTCTCAGTAACCTCTCCTCCTCTGAGGTTCCCTCACTCTCTATCTACCCCCCCAATCAAAATCCTGGTAGCTATTTTCTAGTAATCTCTAGTACATTCTCCTGCTTTCTTCAATGAGTTTAGTGCCCGGCTCACGATCGTTCTCTGCCCCACCCCCCATCCCTGCCTTTATACCATAGGACTTGAACATACATATTGATACTCCTTAATATACCTAAATCTCACAATTCCTCACCTTACTCATTTCACATGACCTAGTCTCCACTCCACCTTAGCCACACAGACAGATGGTCATACCCTTCATCTTTCCATTATCCACAAATGCACCACTTTTATATTTATGAACTCTGAATTTTTTTTTCTGATCATGATCTATTGTCATTCCACCTCTCCCTCTGCCCTGCAACCCCAAACCCTGTTCTTTATCCATTGACCTCCAATCCCTCAACCTCTCAGTTTTTTCACAGGGGTGATACCCCTATTCTACTTAGACTTTTCATGGCACTACTCTCCTCTGGTTTTCTTCCATCCAAGTTCTCCTCAATCTCCTTTCCTGGATCTTCATCCTGCTAACTGTGGGGGTCTCACAAGGCTCTGTTCTGGGCTCTATTTTCTTCTTCCTCTATACTATTTCACTTGGGTTATCCCATCAGCACCCATGGATTCTGTTCATATTATTTCAATTCTGCTGAATCTCAAATCACTTATTTAGCCCTAACGTCTCTGCTTACCTCCAGTCTCGCATCTCTAATCACTTATTGGACATCTCAAACTGGAAGTCTGGTAGTCATTGTAAACTCAACATGCCCAGATCGACCTCATTCTCTTCCCCACTACCTACTTCACAATTGAGGTTACTACCATGTCCCACTCACCCCGGCTCATGGCCTCAGTGCTACCCAAGACTCTTCACTCTCACCTCTCACATTCAATCACTTTCCAAAATTGTTGACTTTACCTTCCAAACACCTCTTTCATACATCCACTTTCCTCCCCTGACTCTGCCACAATCACCTCACACCTAGACTGTTGCAAGAGACTTCTGGTGAGTCTACTTTCCACAAGTCTCCTGTCTTGGCAGTCCATGCTCCTCCCAGCTGTCAAAGTGATCTTATTGAAGCCTAGGCCTGATTATGTGATCCCACTACTTAACAAACTTCAGTGGCTCCCTATTAGCTTGGGGATTAAACACCCAATAATCTGGCTTTCAAATCCCTTCCTAACTTAGACCCACTCTCCCCACTCAAGTCTTCTTGACACATTACATTCAAACCCCACCATGTACTCTGAGATTCAGTGATATTGGCCTCCATCTCTCGACTCCAGGTATTTTCAACATCAGTGCCTCATGCCTAGAATGTTTTTCATCCTCATCTCTACCTTCTGGCTTCTCTGACTTCAAGTCCCAGCTAAAATCTCATCTCCTATAGAAAGCCTTTCCAAAATCCTCTTAAATCTAGTACCTTCCTTTTGTTAATTATTTCCAATTTATCTTGCATATAGTTTGCTTGTACATGTAGTTGCTTACATGTCTTCTTCCTCATTAGACTGTGACCTCCTTGAGATAAAGGACTGTCTTCACATTTTTTTCTCTCTCTCTCTCTTTTTTTTTTGTATCCCCAGTGCCTGGCACATAGTAGGAACTTAGTAAATGTTTACTAACTGACTGACATAAAGATGTTATTAAAACTAATATAACTTGGGGTCATTGTTCACCCACTCCTAACATAACATTCACGGGTCCACTAACATGCAAACTGTCAAAAACAGAATGAGCTGTCTCAGGAGGGAGTGGAAAGTCTTTAAGGAGAAGCTAGATAACCAATTTTCATGATGTTGTAAAGAGGATTTCTGTTCTGTTATCTGTTATTCTAAATGACTTCTGAGGCTCCCTTCCAACTCTTAAGATTCTATGAGATATTTATCAAGGGTTTGATTGAATTAAATGTCAAAATGTCTCAGTACAAAAACTAGGCAGGGTACAATCCCAGAGCTTGAAATAAACTCCACGTTCTTTGAATAAAAACATTCCAAGATAATGTACTAATGTACGCAAGTGGTCATTGGGCAAAAAGGAGAGTTGGAGAGTTTAGGCAAACGAATACAAATGTACAAAAACACATCTTAACAGTTAAGAAATTATTGACAAATGAAAGGTTATAATTGCATGGAAGTTCCCAATGCAGAAAGTGTTTTAAAAATCCTTTTGAGGTAGAATAAGGAATGGGGTTATAAATTCAATGTGTGTTTTTGTGTCTATGGTTTTTAGACCATTGTGAGTTGTCCAGTTTTAAAACTGTGGTTTCAAATTCAGTTGGGATAACTGTTTGCAGTTTAAAACCTGGCAATAAAAAGTTAAGTGCCTGCCAAGAAACAACTTTAATTTTTCAAATTTTAGCTGGCTTTGAAGAGAAAACTGAAGGCTGAATTTAGGGGTTTTTTTCTTAGTTCAATGATAGCACTGAAAATTATTTAATATCAAAGAGTTTTTAACTACTTATGATCTTTGAAAAATGTCCAAGTTTTAAGAAATGCAAAATCATGAAACTATAGTATTATCTATAGTTTCATGGAAGTTTAACTGCAAGTTATACGATACATGCGGGAACTTTTTCTAAGAAGAAAAATGTGATAAAGCTGATTTAAACAAAGAGTCATTTGTAATGTTAGCTTATATTAAATTACACTGCCTTTCTTGTATCCAAGTTTAGATTACTTCCCATTGGAATTTCCTCACACAGGCAAGTTTTAAATGAAATTTACTTTGGTTAAATTTCAGAGGGAGAATGAGATAAGTGTTGTAATCCAAGTCAGGAAAGCTAGATTCAATTCCTAGCCCTGACACTTAGGGCAAGTTACTCACTTACCACGTTTGTACCTCAATTTCCTCTCATCTTTAAAATGGGTAGATTAACATTTCACTGCCTACAAACCTTAAATTACTATAAAAATGTGAGCTGTTATTGTTATTAAAAGAAACCAATTAAAAATAGGAGCTATTAGTTCAAACTAAATTTCATCAATTAATAATGCAATTAAAATTTTATCTACACCTCCAAGTGACCAAAACATGTATGATCAGAGTTTACCTATCTGTACATATGATAACAGGATGAAGACATTTCTATAGTTTTAGAAATATTTTGGATAAAGTTTCTTCTCAAAATACATTAAAGATAATTCCTTTCTAATACTCAAATACCTGATAAAATGCTAATTTAAAATCAGATTATTGATCTGTCCACAGAAAATAGAACTCTAAATAATCAATTTAACAATATCTTTGAATGTTCATGTAAGAAAGCAGTGACATTCATGTTAAAGGATTTCCATATGCCAAAAAAGTACACTATTTATATGGGAGGAAATATTTAAACCACAATATAATTGAATATATGAGAACTTTAGGAAGTTTAATTATAATTAATATAATAAAGAACTGAAATATAGAAATGTATTATTGAAGAAGAATATAGGTCAGTCACATACATGTTAAGAGCAAGGGACAATGTTGGTAGGGCCACGTACTCCACTAGTATTCTATTTTTTTAATATACACAAGTCTTTATCAAAGAAACCCAAAGCTCAATAATTACACACCTTTATACATGGGGGGAAAAGGGAGGGAAGATTGGCCACAAGCTGTTCCTTGGCACTGACCCCTATGTGGCCCTGACTGGGGGAGTAGGATGAGGTCAAGGACACTACCTGGGTCTAGTTATCTGGAGACAGGAAAGGAAAGAGGCCAGCTGGACAGGTGGTGGAGAGGTGGCCCAGTAGCTTAGTGAAGGGTGTCATAATTCAGTGTGTGTATTTGAGTGTTGAGGATGGGGATTTCTGGGCTTCTAGGTGGGATCTAGAGAAGCAGCAGTGTATGTGTGAGCTGTGAGCAGGGAGCAGCTAAGAGTTCAGAGGGTGGATATGTTCTACTAGTATTCTTGCAATGTCAAGAGAAAGCAAGGAAAGCTGATGGGCTTTGATGGCAAACTCATGGGAACACACAAGTCACACAAAATGATCATGTATGAAAGGACTATAATTTGCCTTATTGGAAGAAATATCTTAGACCTTTGGGGAAAAAAAAAAAACCTCGGTCAGTAGTCAGTCATCAAGCATTTATAAGCACCTATTATTTCCAGGCACTGAGCTAACTGCTAGAGCTAAACAAATAAACAGTCCCTGGACTTAAGAATGTCATTTTCTAATGGGAGAGACAACATGCAATCAACTATTTACATACAAGACAAATACTGTGTCATAGTATTATGGAAAGTATTATGTAAAATCACAGTATTACAGCAGTACTTGAAAAAACTCAAAATAATATAAAAGTCAGCAATCATCATCATCATAATGACAAATTATTAAGTGATTAAAAATTAGATGATGTCAAAATGGGAGTTTTTAAGAGGCATACTCTGAACTCTCTTATTTCTATGGAAGGCACCGCCAACTCTTCTAAAGTTTGCAATCTAAGAGTCGCTACTGACTCCTCAATCTCCCTAACCTCTCCCTATTCAATCAGTTGCCAAGTCTCATTAATTCCATCAGTGGCTATAAGAGTGTTTAACCCACAACAAACACTTAATAAATGCTTATTGGCTGATTCAATATCCTTATTCCTTTCATCCATTTTTCTTTGCCTCTATGCTAAAATATAGGCCCATCTATTTAGCTGATGAGATCACTAAATGAAGTGGTATGGTGGAAGAAAAGAAGAAAGCCCAGAACAGTCTTAGGGGATACTCCCACTGTGGACATGATGTAGATTAAGACCCAGTAACAGAGTTGGAGATTAAGACCCAGTAACAGAGTTGGAGAAGGAGAATGATGAAAGAGCAGTATCACAAAACCTACAGAGAAGAGAGTATCAAGGAGAAGAGTGTGGTCAGCAATATAAAAAATCGCAGAGAGATTAAGAAAGAGGAGGATTGAGAAAAGGCCATTAGATTTGGCCATTAAGAAATTAATAACTTTAAAGAAAGTTATTTTGGTTTAGTGATGAGGTCAGAACAGTTAAAAAGAACAAGAAGGAAGCTGTAGACACCTGTTATAAACAGTCATCTCAAGGAGTTTACATAGAAAAAAGGAGTGATATAGGACAATAGGTAAAGAGGACACATGAACAAAGGTGTTTTTTTTTCTTTTTTGAAAATGGAGGAAGCCTGAGAATATTTGTAGGCTGTAGGGAAGGAGCCATTACAGAGGGAGAGATTGAAGATGACAGAAGGGTCTGCTAGAGAAGACAGGATGGAATGGGATCACTTTTACATGTGGAGAGATTTGCCTTGGCAAGGAAAAGGGACATCTTTGTGCAAAATATGTGAACTTTTGTCTTATCTTGTTGAGAAGCAGAAAACCATACCACTATACCACTCCCTTCTATCCACCCTTTGTGAGTTGTCTTCCGCCATTAAAACAAAAAATCTTTAAGGGTAGGGACTGTTTTATTTTTATTTGTAAATCCAGCACTTAGAACAGTGACTGGCACATAACAAGAGCTTGATAAATGCTTCATCTCTCTATTCTTTGGAATATGATAGAAAGACAGAAACAAACAAAATTATAAACATTTTGGCTTGGATTAAGACTTAGGCATAAAAATATCTAGTTATAGATTATTCACAAATAGTAAATGCCTTGGGGTGATATAGACATTTCCCCACAAAATGATTTGCTTGGATATTCATCTTTATAATCACTATGAGGAAAATAAAAATTATATCAAATTAAATCTATTTTATAGATGGGTAAAATTATAATAGAAATTAAGGAATATTTTTAGAGTTTTACAATCAGATAGACAAATACTGATATTGGCAATCAGGTCTTTTGTCTTTCAGTCCCAATTCTCATCTTCAACCCTCTTTTATCCAAGAATCTCCATTTCAGTTGAGGTTACTATCCTCCCACTCACTCAAGTTTATAATCTCAAAACCCTTGCTTACTTCTTCTTGCTCACTCTCCATATCCACATCAGATGCCTAATCCTACCTACACTTCCACCATAACATCTCTTTTACCTATTCCTTTCTCTCTGCCACTCCTGTAGTCCGGGTTTTCATCACCTCTCTTCTGGACTGTTGCAGCATCCCAATTGCTCACACTACCTCTAATCTCTCTCTATCCGAGCAAACCTAATCCATACAGCTAAAATAATCTTATGAAACATGTCTGCCCATGTCATTCCTCTAATTAACAACCTCTAGTTTTTAAAACTCCATTATCTGTGTATAGGTTTTCTTCCTGCAGTAGAATGTAAACTGCTTAACAGGAGGGACAGATTCATTTTTGCATTTGTGTTTCTAGTGCCTGATACACAAAAAGTGCTCAATAAAAGCTTTCTGAATTTACTTAAGTTTTTGTGTATCCCAAGCACCTAGCACTCAGTAGGCAATTAATATATGTTTGTTAAACTGAATCCTTTCCAACAGTTCTCTTCAAATGCCTCTTTTCACTAGATAAATAAAACAGAAATACCTTTCACCTCATGGGAAGGTATCTTTCAAAATGATAATAACAATAATAATAGTTGCTATTTATATAGGGCCTTAAGGTTTGTGAAGTACTTGGCACACACAGTATTTCATAAAAGCCTCATAACTACCCTTCGGAGTAGCAGTACAAATATTAGCCCTCTTATTTTTTGGTAAAGAATGTGAGCTTTGAATATGAGGCTTAGAAAGACTTAAATGACCTCAACATGGCCACAGCTAAATATCAGAAGCAGGATTTGAATATTTGTCCTGTAGACTCTAAGTACAACACTTTAGCCACTACCCCAACACTGCTTCTCTAAAAGTAATCTTAGTTAAATTACACCTTGATCCACCCATTTTATAATTGTGAAGAAAATTAGCATTTATATGGTGCTTACTATGTGCCAAACATCATGCCAAGTGCTTTTTACAAATATTATCTCATTTGATCTTCACAGTAACCCTGCAGGTGATATTATCTCCATTTTAAAGTTGAAGAAACTGAAGCAAAGAGAAGTTAAATGACTTGCAGAGGGTCACTGAGCTACTAAATTTCTGAGGCCGAATTTGAATACAAGTCTTCCAGACTCCAGGCAGAGCACTCCACCCACTGGACCACCAGTTGCCTTACTTGCTTAAAAAGCTTTTAACTGATTGAGAATATGGAGTAAAAAGAGGGCAGCCAGGTAGCACACTGAATAGAGGACTGGGCCTGGAGTCAGGAAGATTCATCTTTCTGAGTTCAAATCTGGCCTCAGACACGAACTAGCTATGTGACTCTTGGCAAGTCACTTAATCCTGTTTGTCTCAGCTTCCTCATCTGTAAAATGAGATGAAGAATGAAATGGCAAACCACTCCAGTAACTTTTCCAAGAAAAGTCCAAATGGGGTCACAAAAAGTTGGACACGACTGAAAAAAAAGACTGAAACAAAATGGAGTAGAAAACATTACTTCTGTATTTTGGAGAAAGGAAAAATACCAGTAAGATGTTGCATGCAAATGTAACTGCCACCTGATATATTTAAATAATCTTTTGAGGCTAAAAAGAGAGAAATAAATTTAAAAAATCACCATCAACAAAAACTATGACCATTTTCTGAGGTAAATTTAACCACTGTAAATCAATTACCATAAAAGTCTAAAATTGTGCTAGCCAGCAAACACTTCATCAAGAGCAACACTGGGGTAGAATGCATTTATCATTCTATGATAAGTGAATGAGGGGAAAGGGGCTCATAGAAAACTCGGCAAGATGAAGCTGGAGAGGACATCAGATAAAAGGCAGCAAGTCTGTCAGGATTATGTGAACACCACTCTCTCCATCAACCAAAGTGAAACCCTTAAATTTGGAATAGTCACTGATACACTATGAGAAGAGAGCACTCCATCCTTTTAAAATCACATTTTTCAAAGTTAAAAAAAATTGGTGATCTTGATATGCATACATGTATACATACTTGGCCAGTCTTTCAATGGTCTGTACATGAGCATTGGTATGGGTTTGAGCAAGGACAGCTTCATGTTGGGAACATTTTAAGCAAAGACCACCAACACGGTTAGAAACTGCATTGAGAGATTCTTGATGCCTTAGTCTCCCCTTGAGTTCTTCACAATTTTTCTGAGATTCAGACAAGTCTTTCCTAAAAGGAAGAAAAGCAGTAAGATAAATTGTATAAGTGAATCAAATTCAATATTTGCAACTTCATTTATAGGGAAATTTTCAAATACAAATGGTAATTTCTTTACTTTTTAAGTGGGAGACACTATGGATGAAGGAAATCCTTTTAAACAATAATCTAGCCAATCTTAATTTTTAAAAAGTCTTAAAATACTGTATGAAACAAAGCCTTCAATTTAGTCAGTTTCCTTTTGGTGACATGGGGCAAAAAATAACTTTAATATCATACTCTGAAAGTTAGTTAACACTGGTTTTGGAGCACTTTCAGAACACATTCCAAAGACAAAGCAACTCTGGACACTATGGAAGAAGAGGAAGATTTTTTAAGCAAAACAAAAACAAAAAAACCCCAAAGGCTGTCATCAACCAAAATGGATTGTGAGGGGAAAAAATGTAACTATAATAAAGAACCTAAACCAACAAAAGAGTGTAAATTTTTATAATAAAAAATGCTTTCATTTCATCTGCACTGAGAGAAAATGCAGCTTAAAAAAATCCAACACTTCAAATTTTATTTGAATATGAACTATAAGCCAAAAAGGAAGTCTTTACTATATAAATGTAGTACACTAATTAATGACAGCAGCTTTGAATTTTGCTTGCATTAAAAAAGTGCTAAACCTTACATTTTTGCAAAATGATATTACTTATAAATAGCACACTTCTAGTATCAAGTTATAAAAAAAAAAGCAGTATAAGTAAATAGGATATATAGATGCTCAGGCAGAAAGTAGTGATTTTTCAGACCACATTTTATGTTTCAATGTGAGGCAGAAAAATAAATTGAATGGACCAACTTAAAACTGTCCAAGGCAAGGTACAATCAGCAATGACACATTTAATGAGCCAAACTATACTAAATGAAATGAAAGTTTAGGAGGTCCATGTCTTTCTGTATTATAGCACTGAAGGTACAGAATTATCCATATCTTGAAAATTGTTTAAGATAACTTCAAACTTCAAAGCCACTTTGAGACACTGAAGTAATAATTTTCCCAAATTTAAAATTCCATTTTTTCATTATTTAAAATTGTTTTAAACAAACGACAAAAAAAGCACAATTAGTTAATATCCTGGCTTCCTTCCCTACTTCGCATACACATGTAATCTATTAAATAATAAACAATGAATATTTTCTTGTATTTGTTTAAACAAAAATACTTACTTCATGGAAAAATGTATTTAAAAATTCACACCAATTTTCCACATGTTACAAAAGCAAAATAACTTCCATAATCTCTTAGAATTTCTATTGAGAAAGGTAAATACTATCTAGTAAGTTGCTTCAATAGCTAAAAAAATAAATAAATAAATCCAAGATATTTTCTCTCCTATATACTAACTACAATACCAAGAAAATACAGAGGCAAAATGAAGAAACTTACCATGAATATTTATAAAAATTTACCTTATGGACTGGTAAGTCTTTGTTGGTGAAGATTTTTAGCCTATGAGTGTTTAAACTGAAATTTGAAGACTATAAGGAGATTTGACAGTTCAGAACTTCTAAAATTAAGTTTACTGAATTATTTTGAGAAATTTCAATTTTAAAAACATAATGCTTCACCAGCAAATACTTTTATGGCATATGTTAAAGTTTATTATTTTTGTTATTGATGAAGCTCAGTTAGATCTTTAGGTTTTCATAAATACTTTAAAAAATTGTTTCACTTTACCTCAGTGTCTTGACTTGAGATTCTAATATTTCATTCTTTTCTTCATAAATAAGTTTTAATTTTTCCTTTAGAAAAGAAAGGAATACACATGAATATTTTCCAATGACATATATCCTCACAGTGTTTTCTAGTTCAAATTCAGTTATAAAAAATGAATCCAATTATCTCTAGCCTGTTTTAAAAAACCCAAAATGTGTCCTTTTAGGGGAGGAAACCCTTCCTTCTCGAAACCTTTTTGTTATTCTCTGAGACAAGTAGTTTAAAAAAAAAAAAGGATGAGCTGCTGTCATTCCCATTTCTCAAAGGATGAAATGATGAAGAACCACTCCCCCCCATGCCCTGGTTTCTGACATTCAGAAAGGACTGTGTAAATACGCCCCTCAACAGACAGCATGGGAGAAGTATTACATCAGATTTTCCAGAGCAACAAGCTTACTTCCAGTTTCTGTTTTCTCCCCACACCCAAGGCTGGCTGCTCCCTGAGGTGGTGTGACCCTGACAAAAGAAATTTTTTTTTTTTAGACAAAAGGCTGCTCTGGCAAACGCAGCTTCTCACTTAAAGATCTTTGAATGTCCATCTGTGGTTACCATAATAGTTTGCATACTAAAGGTATTCAACAAGTTTATTGAAAGAATTATAAATGAAAAGGTCTCTGGCCATGAATAACATGCATGAATATTAGCTAATCCATAATATCTCACTGAAATTAACACTCCATATTGAACACTGAAACTAACATTTCATCATTAACAAATACATGTCAATATTCCTCACTCACTTTACTCACTACAACAAGCCAACAGTTTTTTTCTATAATTAGTTTTATTTCTTGCTAATTTTATATCCCAGACTAGACAAGGTTGTAGTAAAGATCAAATCAAATGATATAAATAAAGTGCCTTGCAAATCTAGTGTGATTGAACTGTTGAACAACAATCGTATCTATCATAGTCTGAGAAGTCCCATTAATGGGAAGAATAATTAGAATATTAGTGTTTTATTTAAGGATAATCAAGCTTAGCTTAACTGAGACTTTGGCTGTTTGTAATTTGGTAAAAATGTCTGTACATGAGATTAAGGGTAACAGTATAATTTAAATAATTATCTTTTTGCTTGAGAGCACTAATAAGCCCAATAAAGATAGAAGGTTTTAGTTCAAACAAATGATTACACTTAATGAAGAAAGCGTTAATAAATAAAGACATCTAATGAGATATGCCCACACTACCTAAACTGTGGGAGTTAACCATTTTTGCGTCATGGAATCTGGGTGCAGTCTGGTGAAATCTATGATTCCTTCTCAGAATACTATGTGTTATCTATATTCATAATTGAAGGGAATAGGAATTTTAATTTAGAGGTTAGTGAAAATAAGCATAAGGACATCACACCTATGAGATTGGCTAACATGACAAAACAGGACAATGATAACTGTTGGAGAAGATGTGGGAAAATTGGAAAACTAATGCATTGTTGGTGAAGTTGTGAACTGATCCAGCCACTCTCAAGAACAATTTGGAACTATGCCCAATTTGGAACTGTGCATACCCTTTTGGTGTCTGAGCAATACCACTTCTAGGTCTGCATCCCAAAGAGATCATACAAATGAGAAAAGGACCCACATGTACAAAAATATTTATAGCAGCTCTTTCTGCAGTGGCAAAGAATTGGAAATTGAGGGGATGCCCATCAATTGGGGAATGGCTGAACAAGCTGTGGTACATGAATGTAGTGGAATACTATTGAGCTATAAGAAATGAATAGGCAAACTTCAGAAAAATCTAGAAAGACTTACATAAACTGATGCTGAGTGAAATGAGCAGAATCAGGAGAACACTGTACACAGTAAGAGTGACATTGTGCTATAACCGACTTTGATAGACTTCTCTTCTCAGCAATGCAAGGACCCAAGACAACTCCAAGATTCATGATGAAAAATGCTATCCACATCCATAAAAAGAACCGGAGTCTGAATGCAGATGAAAGCCACTATTTTCTCTCCTTTTCCTTTGTTGTTTTGTTTTAGTTCTTTCTTGTGGTTCCTCCCATTAGTTCTAATTCTTCTATACATCATAACTAATGTAAAAATATGCTTAATATGAAGGTATAAGTAGAGCCTATATCAGATTATATGCCATCATGGGGAGGGGAAAGAGACACAGGGGGAGAAAATTTAAAACTCAAAATATTATGGAACTCAATGTTGAAAACTAGAAAGAAATACATTACTTTAAAAAACAGAATATAAGAGAAAAAAAGATAATGAGAATAAGAAATTATCTGGAAGTCATCAACCAAACATAACTGGTTTCATCTTATGTTCTTGTGTCGAGAAGTAAATTTAACCTTTCTCCTACCTCTCTCCAGTTGAATCCAGAGAAAATGCAATTTGGGACAAAGGTTGTGAAAGGCATTAGATGTCAAACAAAGGAACTTACATTTGATTCCCAAGAAAATGGGCAGTCATTGGAGTTTTTTGAGAAAGGAAATGATACCCAACAGGTACTTTAGGAAAATCACTTTAGTAACTGCGTGAATGAATTGTAGAAAGGAGATACTTGAGGCAGGGAGACCAATGAAGAGGCTACTGCAGATAGCCAGGTGACAGGTGATAAGAGCCTGAACAAAAAGTGGCCTCCACACCAGTAGAAATTAAGGGACAAATGAGACAGATGTTGTAGAGGTAGAAACAAGACTTGGCAATTGATTGGGAAAATGTGTTTAGTGGAGAAAAGTTAAGGATAACATCAAGGTTGTGAACTTGGGTAGGACTGAAATTGGGTGAGATGGGACACAGGACAGGAACACCTCTCTGGAAGATACACATTATTCAAAATATCATATGATAAAAAGATTCATTAATGTAAGAATAGGAACTCAAAGGGCAAAATATTGTGGAAATCATTTGGATAAGTATTAGCAAAGGGAGAAAGAAGGATGGAACTGTTATAAAGACATACTGCAGGGCTCATGGACAAAAGGATGAATAGATGAATAGTTTGAGAAACAAATCACAAAAGCCCAGAATTGTAAGAGGCAAATGATGAATGAATGATACTAAGGACAACAAAGGAGAGGTTTTTTAAAAGATAGGTTTTGAGAAAGATAAAATTTCAAAAAGGAATAGAAACCACTGACTGAATTAGATGTTATGATAATAATGTACAATACTGGGGTGGGGAGTGAATATCTTTTTAGCTGCATAGTAGAGCTGAAAGAACAATGTATTTTTGGTCAGGTAACCTAGCTTCAATTCTTGCCTCTCACTAGTCCTAGCTATATGACCGTGGCCAAGTTACTATGGAAATGTAAATTGTTATTGTGCTTCTTCTAAATAAAAACAGTTTTGAACTGAGGATAGATAAAAGTAGGTAACAGGGAATGGAAACCTAAGATAATGGTAGAAAAGGTTATATAGCGATATCTGCCCCAAATGGCTATACATTCTCAAGTCTAAGATTTAGGGAAAAACCGTGTAGTTATAATTGCAGAGTTGCTCTCAGAAATCTTTGAAAAATCTTAGGAAATAGAACCACATGACTATGGAAAGACAAATGTCCTGATTTTCGAAGAAAAGAGGATGGAATATAAAAACTGTAGGTCAGTACACATGATTCCCATTCATGTAAAATTCTAAGACTAAATGGTTTGTGAGTTCTGATAATGGGCTTATAAATGATTTGTGAGCCCTTGAAAAAGAAAGCAGAGATCACCTAATTCCACCAGGCTTCCTCTACCCTGTCCTGGCAGGGCCTGAATGCCTGCGAAAGGGAGAAATGTCTTTCTGTCACTCCCTCCACCGGTCTCCTACTCTGGCCTGCCTCCCTGAAAGGCATGAAACAGCATTCTATCACGCAGCCTCAATGTTTAACGTGCCTGAGTTTGTCTCCACGTGGGTAACTACCTGTACTTCCAGCTACACGCTCACTGCTGCCTCATGACCTGAGAGTACTCTATGCTGAGGCCAGACCCCTGGAATGGTCGAAAACCCCCCTGAACTCATTCAGTGATGATTAACAATGCCTCTATTACATCGTCTTAGTAATTCTCTCACAGGAATGCTTGTTCCATAGTTTAATTTATTTCCATCGTAAGTATTTCCTTTTCTGACTCCTTCCATCTTCCGGCCCTTCCTGAGGCCTGGCTCCCTCCTCAGTACCATTTTCAGCATTGGCTTCTCTTTCACTCATAACCCCTAAATTGTTGGACCAGGTAGGAGAGTTGGAATACTCACTGTTCTACTGTCACTTGCAGACTCTTTTTCTACAGCCATCACTGAGTAACCTCTCCTCCTTTTCGGTCCATTAAATTTGTATATATGTGATATATAAATATATCATATATCATGATAAACATATATATCTCATATGTAATGATAAATAAAAATATTTATCTCCTAATCAAGATTCTGGTTGCTGCTATCTATTGACCTCTAGGACATTCTTCTTTCCTCAATAATTTCAATGACTGACTCACAGACTCTTTCCTCCTCAACTGCTGCCTTCATACTTCAACATGCATAAAGAAATGATCTCTAATGTCCTAAGCAGGTCATACACTCGATGTTTCCATAAACCATAAATAAATTTCACTTCTGCATTTGTAAACTCTGAAATTCCTTTATTTGATCACAATATGTGGTATTCCACCTTCCATTCTACCTTGCAACCTCAAACCCTGTCCTTCATCCATACTGTGACTTCAATCCTTCAACTACTAATTCTTTCCAGGCTACCACCCCTCCTCTAGCTACACTCTTCTCCTCTCCCTATCATGACCCCTTTTTGAACCAGTTCAGCCCTACAGTGTTCTCTTGAGTCCCTTACCTCCTTATCCTACTGAAGATTTGGCCCTGCAAAGCCTCAGCCTTGGACTGTTCCCATCATCTGCTGTCCTCTCCTATTCATGTGCTACTGCTGAATGAAGCCAGAGAACATCACAGAACTATGTTGACTGGGGCCACTACCAATTTATGTTACATAAACTTAACTGGATCCTCACTATGACAAAGTAATCCTTTTATACCTCCCTAATTGATTTACTATCCTACTCAACACAACAATTTTTCCGAATCTTTTAATTTATCCTCATTAACCTCTCATGGTTTCCCCTCCCCCTACTATTTCAGTTTAGAACCTTGCCTAATATTTCAATGAAAAAGTGAGGCCATTTGCCAAGAGTGCCCTCCTCTCCTCAAGTCCTGCCCTGCCAAGCCTTAGCACTCAGACATCTTCTACCATTTATCTCCTTTGAAGATATGAAGAGGTGGCCTTCCTCCTGCTTTCCAAGAAAACCCCTTTACATGTATAAGTTATCCCATCCCATACTATTTTCTCAAGAAGATTGCCCTCTCTTATCATCCCCATTTTTTCACATCTGCAATGCCTTCTTGTCTGCTGCCTACTTCCCTACAGCCTACAAACATGCTGAGGTCTCCCCTATTCTCAAAAAACCTTCACTTGTTCCATCTATCCCTATTAGCTATTATCCTATATTTCTCTTGCCTTCTGTAGATAGCTCCTTGAGAAGCTTATCTATAATTAGTCACTCTACTTCCTGTTCATTCAGTTTTTTTCTTAAATCTCTACAATCCAGCTTCTGACTTTAACATTCAACTGAAACTTCTCTCTCTAAAGTTACTAATGATCTTGCATTTGCTAATCTAATGGTCTTTCCTTAATCCTTATTCTGTTTGACCTCTCAGCAGCTTTTGACACTATTGATCATTTTCTTTTACTTGTTACTCTCCTAAGTTTTTGTGACACTATCTTATCCTGGTTCTTCTCTTACTTGCCTGACTATTCCTTCCCAGTCTCCTTTGTTGGATCTCCATGGTGCCACACTTGCTAAAGGTGGGTTTCTCCTCCGAGGCTCTGTCCTGGGCCCTCTTCTCTTTTCCCTCTATACTATTTCATTTAGTGATATCATCAGCTCTTGTGTATTCAATTATCTCTGTAGATGACTCTCAAATCTACTTATCCAGAGCCAACTCTCTACTGACCTCCAGACATCCCAAACTGAATATCCTGTTGGCATCTTAAACTCAGCACGTCCCAAACTCATTATCTTTTCCCCCATGCCTTCTCTTCTTCCCCTCTTTGCTATTACTGTTGAGGACATCACATCCTTAGTCCCCTAGGCTCACAATCTAGGCGTCACCCTCAACTTCTCACTCTCTCTCACTCCCCATATCCAATCCCTTGCCAAAGCCTACGGATTTAAATTTCAAAATTTCTCGTCTATGCCCCTTTCCATCCTCTGACACTGACACTATGCTGCAGCAGGCTCTCATGCCTGGATTACTGCAATAGCTTTGTTGTCGGTCTGCATGACTCAAGTCTCTCCTCACTCTGGACCATCTTCAACACAGCTGTTAAAGTGATCTTCCTGAAATTCAGGGCTGACCATGTCATTTTCCTTCCCACCTCCCACACCCCCATTCAATTAACTCCATTATTATTACCTCCAGAATCAAATATAAAATTCTCTGCCTGGCATTCAGAGACCTTCCAGACCTGGCTCCCTCCTACTTTTCCAATCTTTTTACACTTAACTTATGCCCTGTCCCCTAGCATATTCTGCAACCCATTGACACTGGCCTCCTTTCTATTCCTAGCACATCTCTCAGTTTCAGGCATTTTCACTAGCTATCTCCCATGCATGGAATTTTCTCCCTCCTCCTCTCTACCTCCTATATTTCTTGGCTTCCTTCAAGTACTAGCTAAAATACCATATTCTACATATAAAATACCATATTCTACAGGAATCCTTTCCCCATTCCCTTAGTGCTAGTGATTTTCCTCTTTGTTTATCTCCAATTTATTGTGTATGTGTGTGTGTGCGTGTAGTTTGTACACAGATATTGCATGTTGTCTACCCTATTATACTGTGAGAGCTCTTTGAGGGTAGAGACTGGTTTTTCCCCCTTTTCTGTATCCCTAGCACTTAGTGGAGTGCCTAGCACACAGTAGGCACTTAATAAATGCTTGCTGATTTGATTAAATAGCCAGTAAAGGTTTGTGAAGGACAGGTCATGTAAAATAACTTCATTTCTTTTTTTTGGCAGGGTAACTAGAAAAATACATCATCGGTATTCTGTATCTATAGAATATCTATACTGGAAATGCTCTCTAACATCCTAACCAGGTCATGCACTTGATGTTCCCATAACTCATAAATAAGTTTCACTTCTGTGTTTGTGAGCATGGGATTTCAGCAAAACATTTAACAAAGTGTATTATACTATACTTGTAAATATGATGGAGAGATATAGGTCAGTATTAGGAGGATATAGAACTGGATATGACAGACACCAAGAGTAGTAATGTCAATGTAGACTAAGGTATCCAGTGAGGTGCCTTAGGGAACCATTCTTGGCCCTATTCTGTTCAATATTGTTATCAATGGTGTAGGTGAAGGAATAGAAAACATGCTATTTCAGATCTGCAGATGGGATGAATCTAGGAGAGAAAAATAATGTTGGATGAGAGAGTCATGATTCAAAAAGATCTCAATAGGCTAGAATGATAAGAGGAATCATGTGAAATTTAGTAATTATAAAGGTCCATACAGATTAAAAAAATTAATTTCACATGAACAACATCTTCAAAAAATACCAAACCAGAGGTGAATGACAAATGCAAAAATGCTTGGCTAGATAATAAAGCCCATATAAAGGATACATAGGTTTTAGAGGCTTACAATTTCCATATTAGTCAACTATATGGTAGTATTACTGCCCCCCCCAAAAAAATAAGGTTATCCCTAGGCTATGTCTATTGAATAACTGTGAGCACAACAAGAAAAGTAAGAGTTTCACCATATAAAAGACTCATACCACATATACTATGAAGTACTCCGTTTCAGGCACAAAAATAATGGGAATACTAGAAAACATGTTATACAAGGGTCAATTAAAGGAACTAGGGACGTTCAGGCTACAGAAGAGGACTTAGAGGAGGCATGTGAACATCTTTTAAATGTCTGAAGGGCTTTCACGTGAAAGAAGAATAAAACTTCCTCTGCTGGCCCCAAAGGGCAGAGCTAGTAGATGGGTAGATGTTGCAGAGGGTTAGACTCTGCCTTAAAGTAAATTAAAAGCTGGCTAAACAATCTAAGCTGTCCAAAAGTGGACTTTATTGCCTAAAGAGGTAGTAAATTTTCCCTCACTGAAGGTCTTGAAGCAGAGGACAGATAATCATTTGTCAGGGATGTTACACAAGAGATTCTTGGTCAGATTCAGACTGGACTAGATGGTATTAATATCCCTTCCAACTCATAATCTAAATTTAAGATTTCTTACTGTATTTATCAACGGATATTATATGCAAACTTTTTGTTTCAGTGTAATTAGTACTTACTTATTAAAATCAAAATGTATATCTGCTTTAATAATAATTCTATTAAATAAAAATCACTGCTCAATTTTTGTTGGCACTGCAACCAATGAATAAAACAGCCTGCTTCTTCCACTTTTGTCATATCTTAAAATTAGAAGAGACAAAACCTTTCCCTAATCTCTTACAGTATTTATGACTACTAATCTTGTGGAAATAAGCAATAAATTATGGCAGGAAATGAAAGTATTTCCAATTCTACATATCTGATCAAACATAAAGTACTACACTTTGAGAATACTTTGTGAATAAAAAGAGAAATTCCAAAAATGAAACATGAAAATCAAAAATATTTGATTACTCACAAGTTCTAGTTGCCATTTTTCCAGATCATAAGCAGTTGATTTAACCTGTTCTGGGTCATTTGAAGTAATATGCGACTTGCTACCTTGACATGCTCTTAAAACATCAACTGGCTTCACCCATTTTGAGGAATTTTGAGGATTTCCCTGAATAAAAATGTTGTCATTTATTACAATCAAAAATTCCAAGTCAAACTGATATTGTGATATTAGGCTTTATTTCTAAGAAGAAAAAAACATATATATATATATATATATATATATATATATATACGCATATATATATATATACACATATATATGCATACTAGTAAGTCATAATTTCAGGTTTATACACTAGGAGATTTATGGGCTAAATCTTTTTAAATTTCAAGAAAGCAATAATAGTGTGGTTTCTCCTACCAAAATTTGGGAAAGAGAAAGGAAACCTCTATCCATTTTTTCCCCCAGTGCCTGGAAAATATAGCAATTTACAAAAAACAAAAATCACATTAATGAAAGCAAACAGCTTTGATGAGCTCTACTGTGTTGTATGTGGGCTATTTACTCCAACTCAAGAGGCCAGGTTTAGGGCAAGATGCTAAAGGTATAGAAGCAAAGATAAAGCAAAAAATTCATACCCCAAAGAGTTTATGGGGACCAACATTTATATAACATATTTTCAGGGAAGGAGAGAATGTGGAGGGAGGAACACATACAACCAAAACATATAACACGCTAATAGATTGTAACAAGGAGAGATGATGTGAAATAAGCTTGGAATAACAAACTTGAACCAAATTGTAAAGGACTTTAAATAACAGTGAACAGGAAAGAGGTAGATCAAAAAAGGAAGGACAAAAGGTTTTGATCTGCAAAGGGACTTCAGAGACAAACATCACAGAAGTCAAACATTTATGGGTAATGTTAGGGTCAAGAGTATGACCAACCCTGTGTGTGGGCAAAGTGAAGCAAAGGTGTGAGAAAGGATAACTGAAGATGTTGTTTACCTGGGAGGTGAGGGTGTTCAAGGGGACATCAACATTTAAACTGAGGTCACCATGTAGAGCAGGTGAGGAAATTGAGAGAGGGTAGCATTGTTGTAGAAGGAGATGAAGGAATGGGAAGAGACGGCAAGAGATGGGATTTTTAATTTATTCATAGTCAGATTCAATTATGGGAAGAAGTAGGGTTTTGTTAGTCACTGGACTGAGTAGTAACATTTGACTAGCTCTCCTATCCTCAAAGGCCCTGAAATAACAAAGAACAATGGCAATTAAGTTTCTCTTAAGCATCAGAGAAGAAGTGAAATAAAGTTGGTCATTTGGGTCTGTAAATACCTGGTGACTGGGTCCCCAGGGACCTGACTGAACTCACATTCAGTACCAGTTCATATGCCCCATCCCAAGTTGGCAGGAGATGATACTTAATCAGATGATTTCCTGCAAATGAAACATATCCTGGGCTCCTGGTTGGGTCTAGTGTCAGAGACCCTTACTCCTAGAAGAGGTCCTGGTGGCAAGAAGTCTTTTATCTAAGGCTCTGGTCCTGGGCAGGGTCCAGCATGTGCAATGTCTGGTGAGACAGGCTCTGGTCCTGTTGCGGAGAGGCCTGAGGCCTAGGCATTCCATGGTAGAGATGAGGCATTGGTGTTTTCTTATACAAACTGGTGAAGCAGGGCAAAGGATTTGGGTTCCAGGCTTGAATGTTGATTCGGTGACTCAAGTCAAGAGGTTGGGGACTGGAAGAGTAGACATCCAAAGCCAGTCCCTGAGGAGGACACCACTATATCATGCCCCAGGTTGGTACCAAAGAATGGCATTCATTCACCAAAGAGCAGTAAAACAGGGCAGTTTTTGTTGTTGTTCTTATTGGGGGAAGGGGAGAAATCGGAATGAGTGAATGGAGGAGGCATTTCAACCCAGTACCAGAGATGGGCTAGGGTTAGGACATACACTCTTTACCTCTAAATCCATGAGGTCCGCTCTGCTGGCTCTGGTTTCCATGATGTCACCTCACAGATTCTTGCCTCATGGTCATTCTCCCACATCCCAATGTTTCAATCTCCTACCTGCCTTACAGAATATTAATATCCACAGTAGAGTCCATAGGTACTTAAGGTATCATTTGTTAAGAGCTATAAATCAAGAGTAAGTAACCTTTTAAAACTGGCTACACCAAGGTCCAAACCCCCTACTCTGAAGTGCTGGGCTTTGGAGGTAGCATCAATTCTTTCAAGCCAGGGACAATAAAACCATCTTTGACTTTACTGCCATTGGTTGCAGACCTCTGGTATAAACTCTGAGGTGACTGCTGGGGAAATATAGGCTTCAAGGCAGCCATAGCTTAGTCTATCCTTTCAATTAAAAATTCATACACACATTTTCCAAAGAACTAGTTTTTCTAAGTAAATAAACATAAATATGATGATGTTTAAGTCAGAGTGACTAGTGAGGACCTTTTTAAGGGCAGGCACGGGGGATATCTGGGAAATTTTCTACTTAAAAATACACATTTAAATTATCAGGTTGGTATATCTACAACTATTTCAAACATATAACATGCTTATAATAACCTCTAGTAAAGTCCTACTTTGATCCATCATCATGGGATAGAGAAAACCCTGTATTTTCAAAAGCTCTGTTAGCAGAGCCCAAATCCTGCCTGGTCCTACCTGGAATTAATCCCACCATTCTTCAAGTTAACGTATTTGAAAAATAATCGGTCCGATTCAGCTACAGTTAAAAAACCAGGGTTATAATTCATCATAATGAAATAAGGAAATGGAAATCCTGTAAGTCATGTACTGTTCATTAACATAAACTCAAATCAAGGCCTGAATCTTGAGGGAAACAAAAGCAGCTACTTTCACTCAGAGTTAGATAAGCTCAGTAACTATATAATTCCTATACTATTTTACAGAAAGTCATGATCAAAGACTATGTATTCGAAACAGCCAATAGTTTTGTCAATACATAAAAAACTAAAATGATAAAATATTAATAGAGGTCAAAAGATAATAGTGATTGACCCATTTAAATGAGAAGAATTCTGAGAGGTTTTATTTTGCTTTGCTTTTAAAAAAAAAACCAAGTACACTGCCATATGTGTATGTGTGTGTGTACTTCAGTATACAACTAGAAAATCTATTAAATTATCACAACTAATAGAGAAACAGCAAACAGAGAAACAGCAAAAGAGATTAGATAGAAAAAAGGTTTAATAGTATGTCCAGTATAATTTTTTAAATGTATATACCATATGTTAAATCATTGGAGAATATAATCATCTCCCAAATAGATAAGACAGATATACATATATCTATTGATACAGCTTTCTGAAATTAAACCCATATACACATTTTCATGTCCACATGAAAAGACACGTTGGCTTGCCACCACTTCCTTCCCTTTTTGCCTTGCTTACTTCTCCCTCTGATTCATTTATCTGCCTCATTTCCTGTCTCATCTTACTTCTCAGATGAACTCATTTGCCAGCTTTAACTGCTATGCCACTACATGGCTGCTGAAACTATGAATAATTCAGTCATGTTTAGATGAGTGTATATTTAGAAAGGAAAAAGGGAGAGAAAAAAAGGTCCTTTTAAAATAAGTTTGTTTTAAATATGTTTCATGTGATTTTTTTTTCAAATTTGGCATTCAAAATCTGAAATAACTGAAATTTTATCTATCAACAGCATGGATCTATGTATATATTCAAGAAAAGAAAAAATATTATAAGCAAAAAATTATTTAACAATTGATCATAAATTAAAAATGACTGCTCAGGAAAATCTACTTAAAAAAACCCATCTACTCACTCAATAATTAGGAATGAACACTACCATTTCCTTCTTGTGAATGGAAGATTTAAACAACATGCCTTCAGGGGTACAAACAATACCTTCAGGAATCATTCTAAAAGAAGAACAGTTCCAGATCCCGAAACTAAAAGAAAAGCCTAAGCTATATCCTCTTTCACAAGTCATTGATAAATTTAAACTAATTAAATTAGCTAATGACCATAATATTTAATTTTAAAGCAAAGGTATCAAAGATATCCACAATTAAAATATTTCAGAATCATCACACAGAATGCTTCCACAAAAACTGAGAAAGCCTTTGATTGGCTACTTGTTACAGTCAACAAGTGGGAGTGGGAAAAGCAATGTTTTGCCTAATGGCAAGAACTCTAATACTGCTTTTATTTTTTAAGGCTACCTGCTATTTCAAAGTCTGCCTAGAAACTCCATATCATAGTCATAAAATTTTAGAACTGAAAGGGAATTAAGAAATCATCTAGGCCACCACCTCCCCATTTGACAGATGAAGAAACTGAGGTCCAGGGCTTATAAGTCCAGGGACTTATATAGGGTTACACAGATAGTGAGTGAAAAGTATAGGAAAGAACTTGAGTCCCTTTACTTCTGGTCCAGTATTCTATTTGTTGAGCTATAAGCTAGTGTTCTCTAATTTAACAAAGGTTTACTTTCTCAAATTGTCATTAAGTCAACTCTAAATCTTAGTATGACTTGTATCTAGAACAGGGCTCCTTCCTAATATTTCAGCTTTCTGATTCCCATTCTCCTTTTCCTAGAAGGAAAAGTAAAAGGCATGCTATGAGGTTGATTTTTAGCAGAGGTGTCAAACTCGCCCCCCAAGCCTGGTCCACAAAACTCCAGGTCCAGGCAAAACCAGGTTAAAATATAATTCAGAAATGTTTAACAAAACATAAAAATATAACACTGAAAATGATAATTTGTAGCTTTCTAAGTCTATATTGCTATCTTTAGGGATTCTTTGTATTTGAGTTTGACACCAGTGATTCAAAACTAATGAGGTAGTATGCCATCTGTTAGGAGTTTGCCTTTCAGCCATCCTTAGCAAACTCTTGAATTAACAATCGACAGTTACCTTCTGACTAATTGGTAGTAGAAGTAGGATTGCTAATAACTTTTCTACTTTTACTTAGTTTCAACTAATATACTAGGTTTCATGGAATGAGTATAGATTCCAACACAGATTGAGGTAGCAGATTTCTTTTAGAATAAAACAGGAATCCTTGATTTACGATTAACTCTTTCCTTGAAAAAAGAGGTAGAATATGGGAAAACATACTAGATTTGGATTCAATTTGTTCCAATTCTTGCTTTGCCATCTGTGTGAATTTAAACGGGTCACTAGACATCTCCAAATTCTCTCATCTGCAAAAAGAGGTGGTTGCAGTAAATGACCTCTAATCAGAGATCCAAGAAGAAGCCACTTAATCTAAGATCTACCCAAAATGAATCATTCCTATAACATTCTAGGTAAGAGGTCACTCAGCCTCTGCTTCAAGACCTCAAAAAAGGAAGAACTCTAGAGCCAGCCCACTCCACTTTATTAGGAAGGTTTTCTTAATATCAAACCTAAATATAAATCCTTGCAGATTCCCCTGACTGCTGAGTCCTGTCTTCTGTGGCCAAAGAGAACACATCTAATCTCTCCATCACATGACAGCCCTTCACATCCTTGAAAACAATTGGCCTATCCCCTTGAATCTTCTCTTCTCCCAGCTAAGCCCAGTTCCTTTAACCCATCCTCATACAACAAGGCCTCAAAGCTCTTTATCATCCTGGCTTCCCTCTTCTCGATGCTCTTCAGTTTACTAATGTCATTTTTAAATCGAGGCATCCAGACCTCAGCACAACATTGCAGATGTGGCCCTACCAGGTCAGAGTATTGATGGGTGATCACACCTCCTAATTTCTGGAATGGGGTCCCTCTTAAACCTAGAATTGCAAATTTTTTTGTTTTTAACATCATACTACTAAAAATGATCTTGCAAGTCCACCAAACCCCCCTGATCTTTTCCCTCTCCGATATTTTAATCCTATAAAAGTGAAGTTGTGTTTTTTTTTAACACAAATATAAAACTTGACCTTTAGCCCTACTAAATTTCACCTTATATTCAGCCTATCATAACTTGTCAAGATCAATCAGCCTGTCAGCTGTTACTTCCAGTTTTGTGTCATTTGCAAATCTTGTAAGCATGCCATCTATGCCTTTATCCACTATCACTGGTAAAAATATTAAACAGTACAGAACCAAACACAGATCCCAGAGACACTCCATGGTAGACCTAACTCCTGACAAGAAGTTAATGAGTAATAGTCATTAACTGTGCCTGGTTGTTCAACAAACCCAAGTCTATTTAATTATATTACTGTCTAGGTCACATCTCCATCATCTTCAAAAGAACAGTATGAGATATTTTATCAAATGTTTTGCTAAAATCTATCAAGTATATCTATAGTATTCCCCTGACCTATGAGTTTACTAAACCTGTTGAGAGAGTAAGTAGGAGGGAGAGCATGACCACTCAAAGTCAGGAAGACCTAGCTGGTTTTCAAGTGTCTCTGACACACTGGTTGCATGACCCGGAAAAGTCATTTACTATCTCAATGACAGAGGCAATCTCCAAACCTGGAGGTTATAGAGTGCCAACCTGTACTAGTAGAGGGTATTTGCTTCCTAGAATTTCCTAGACCAATAAAATCACAGGTCATGTTCCAAAAAGAAAAAGGAAAAAGAAGTTTGTTTGGCATGACCAGCCCTCGATGAAGCCATCATGGCACTACTTTGATAGATATCCATTAACTATATCTTTAATGTTCCATTCTAAAGTTTTCCCAGAAATCAAAGTCAAGCTAACTGGCCTGTAGATTGTAGTCTCCTTTCTTCCCTTTTCTGAACATCAGGACAAACATTCACCCTTCTCTAATCTTGCAGTACCTCCTCCATGTTCCATGATCTTTTAAATATCACAAATAAAGGGTATCAATTACATCTGCCATTTCCTTCAGTATCCCAAGGATCTAGTTCATCTGGGCCAGGCCTTTGAATTCATCAAGGGCAACTTATCATAGTCTAACTTATCTTGAGCATAAACTCTGTCATTTCCACTGTAATTGGGTCACTGTCCTTGGTAAAGGAAGCCAAAGCAAAACGAGACCCAAGAGGCACTTTCTTCTCTCCACTGTCAGTCAAAGACATCTCCGTTCACCTCCAGTAGGGATCCTATCCTCTTTAATCCTCTTTCCATCAATATAGCCAAAACACTATTTGTTGTCTTTACATTTCCTCATCAACCTCAGCTCATTCTCAGTTTTAGTATCCTTGACACCGTTTTTAATAGCATTCATATACAAACGTCTCACTCGTGTTTCCATTTTGTTACTGGCTCTAACGTGCATCTTCTGTACATATCTTATAAAAATCTACACTGGTTGGCCAGTTCTCTGTACATCCACATTGGTTTCTTCAAACAATTCTCATTTTTCCTCTTTACTGAGCTGATCTCCCTTTGTTTCAACACAATTTCTTTCTTTAGTTTCCCATTCTTCCTGTGGTGACTTCCCCTGTGGAATTTTAGTGCATGAGAATCATCCTATCCTTCTCCTGAAAATTCTGAAATCTATTTCCAAAATCCAGGGTCCATGTCACTCCTTCTATAAGGTCCCTTCAAGATCTAAATTTATCATCTCATGACTTTCACATACAGCAAAGAATGAAATGCAGAAGGTAAGATTCTTATCCTCAAGGGAGGGGTTCCTACAGTCTCGTGAGAAGGGACGTGACTGGAAGCCTATGAGCCAGTTTGATCAGCATTAGTAGACCAGGTTATCAAGCCACAAATCTCCTGTGGTCTCACTTTTGATCTTCGTCTTTATCTTCCCTTCTAGCTCTCCACAAAGATCAATTCTCTTTCCCCTAACTGGTGGCAAGGCAAGGGGAAGCTGCTGGGGTTTGGCTTCCTCGTGGAAAGGAAACAAGACAGGTTGCTCAAGAGTTAAACCTTAAACCTTCCAGTGACCCTCCCTCAGCTTCCCTGAGGATCCATGTAGCCTCCCAAGGTTAGAGTAGTAGGCTTATCTGCACGGGGCTCTTCCAGAAGTAATTTGGCAGTGGGGGTTGTTAGAGAGGCAGTCACCTTCCCATTAGTTCTGCAATGTCCAAACAACTTGGTAGTACATGAGGGCCAGGCTTGCTCCCCCATATTGTGGCTCAGTCACCATTTGATCTCCAGTTCCAGAGATGCATTAGTACTGTCTTCTTCTCTCCAGGTAATTGGAGCCAGGAGCTCTTACCACTCTTTCACTTGTAGATATCCACAAGGCCATGTTGTTCTTTTCTGTCCCTGGGTCATGTGATTCCCAATGCTATTTGGCTGCTATACCACTTCCTCTCAAGGCTGGTATCTCTCAGGCTAAGCTGGGAACTGTCAGTGAGAAGCAGTGTGATGCACAGGCTGCACCTCCCACCAAGGACCAAAGTCTACTTTCAGGTCTCTTGTCTCTAATCTGTGCTCTGTTCTATCCAGATCTCTCTGAACTTCCAGGAGATTCTTCTGTCCCATGTATAAACTCAGTCCCAGTGCAGCATAGATCTGTAGTAGCCTGACCCAATTAAACCATCCCCAGTTAATGCCAAAATTTAATCAAGTGGATAAAGCCAAAGTTCCACTATTCAACTCTGAAAAATGGTCCATGCCCACACTTGGTTACCCCTTTACATTTAAAAAAAGAAATTACTCACAGAGGAATCCATAAAGATATGCTCAATTTTCTGCTCTGCTGATCTGGATTTCAACTCTTCCTGAAGCTTTTCATTTTCAAGCACAACTACATGTATTCTTTCCTTCATTCCAGATAGTTCTTCCTACAGAAAGCAATAAGAACATACATATGCTTAAACTACTAAACAGACTGCTTTTCCTTGCAGAATACCAGGGTGCTTAAAGCAACATAAAGAATTATTCCTATCTCTTAGGTGTTCATAATCTACACAAGCATTATAACTCAAATAAAAGACTTGAGATAGCAATTATTGTTGAGATTGGCGGTATTCTTTTCTTAGTTACTTGTGGACTTGACTATTCCTCAATCCCACCCAACTAAAGAATAGGTATTAGGAAGTAGGACAAAAGGATTTATCATCAGAAAATTTAAAAAAAGATCATCAAAACAAAAGGTTTAATTTTCTGAAGAAAAAACCATGTATGTTAATAAGTTATAACTGACTGATTTTAACTTGCTAAAAAAATCAACAAAAAGACAAAAATGGGAATGTTACAGTTAGGGGTGCTGAGAACCCCAAAATATAAGGGTGGGGGGGAGGTCTGCCTGAAAAGAATTTAACCACTCAAGCCTTCCTTCAGTCAAGATATTGAGGTTTACTGTAATACTATGGAGGGAAGATTCCTAGTAAATTTGCAGCTTGATGGGGATGAGAATGATACTTTCATAAACAAAAAAGACCATGAGAAGATTTGGATGGGATTAAGGAATGGTAAATAGCCTAGACAGCACAGGTATAAACAGTGAAAGAAGTGGTCTGGGCTAGGAGAGCCACAGTAAAAGGACTATTGAATATCCAGGTGGACTGGGCTGGGTCTGATACCTCAGTCCAAGGATTGGTTTGCTGAAATGTATAGGAAAATTCAGGGTCCAGATCCATCAGGGACACTGAAGGTGTGAAGACTGGAACAGGTACACACACAAAAACAGATGGAGGAGATTCAATGGAGACTTGTTAAAGAGGGAGCACACACAAAAGTCTAGGGGTTTTTTTGAACTACAGGATAGGCCACAGTGAACTTTAGAATAATACAATCTAGAATTGCTATTCAGTAAATGTTTACTAACCACCTACTACACAGAGCATACTGTTAGGTTCTAGAGGAAAAAAAAAAGAGTGAATGTTCTCCACCCTGAAAAAGTTTTTATCCCCAATATCATGACAAAGCAAAAAAAAAAAATGATACAAATTTGAATATGATAAATACTTAAGAGAATTTAAAATGTTATTAATTAGAGTTATTTGCTTCTATAAACTATACAGCATGGAATGAATCCTGATCCAGAGTTGATGGTTACTCTTTATTACCAAATGACCCAAGAAAAGCTCAAAGGACTTATCATACAATCTAGGAGTAGGAATTAGGAAATATTTCCATGTTCTTTTAATTGATTTTGCAGAGAAATACTCAAGGGCACATTAAGGGACCTAAAGTTTATGCTAGAAGTTTTTTCTGTATTTAGTATACAGGATAGGAAAAAAGATTAAACAATATTCTGTGCCCCCACTACCACTTCATACCTGCCCCCCCCCAAAAAAAAAAGCTTTGGATCTTAGTTTTCTACAAGTCCCATGTGAGACAACAGCATAATATTATAGTACCTTCCCCCATATATATGCATATATACACATATATGAAGAGGGGGGAGGATGGAAAAGAGGTGGAGGGAAAAGAGTGAGTGAGAGGGGAGAGGCCAGAGAAAGTTAAGGGGGGATAGAAGAGGGGAGAGCAAGAGAAGGAAATCTGTACCTGTGATTTCATTAGTATACAGATGTGATCTTAGTCTAAATTATTAGAAGTATGGCGTCCAAAGAGAAAGACTTAATATATTTACCTTGCCCTGGCAAGAATTAACTAGAGCACTGTCTACACTTCCAGGTACAACAATTTTAGGAAGCATATTGACAAACTAGTGTGCATACAAAGAAAGAGCTATGAGAGGGCAAGCCTATGAAAGTTATCAATATTCTGCTAACATTGGGTGGCATAACCTTCTCCTGGAAATTACTACAGGACTGAGTTGATAGGACAGACTCATCCTCTAGTAACAGACAGGCCATATGAGTGTCAGCTGAAGAAACTGAAGATGGCTTCTGGTGGAGGCTGTAGATAAAGAAAATAAAATATTTGGGGGAAGATACTGTAGTTAATGTTTTAAAATATCTGAAGGGTGTCATATGCAAGAAGTATTTAACCCTGAGGGAAACACTAAGATCAATGATTAAAAGCACAAAAAGGTAGACTAAAGTAAGCTAACAATTAAAGCTGTCTTAAAGTGGAATGGACTGCCCTGAGAAATATGCTGGCTTCATCATTTTGAGACATCTTTAAGTACAGCCTGGATATTCTGTCAGAGATGTTAATGGACTTCACTGTGTACTGGTTCAAATACACCATGGACCAGATGGCCACTGTGGTTCATTCTAACTCAGACTCTGTGATTAGCATTTAACAAATAGCACCTTTGTGACTTCACACTCCTGCTACAAATGTCTATTTCTTGTATCTTAGCTAGCCTTGCTCTGTTCAATCTTATTTCTCATTATTTTATATCGACATACTTTCTCTACTTCTGTGAGAAGTAGCAACTGACTCAGATAAGAGGGAATTATAATGGTCCAAGTAAGAAGTAATGAGGGCCTTCAACTAAGCGGGAATAGCAAGGAAGAAACACATGAAATTTTGCAGAACTAGAAATGACAGGGTTTGGCAACTGATCGGATATGGTAGTGTTAATCAAAAACAATATCACAAATCCCTAAGACAACAGTTCTAGGGAAGGGAGAGGAAAGGGTCAAAGATGAGGCTAGAAATCTGTACAACTGAGAGAAAAATGGCACCATCAATAAAGAAAGAAGTCAGAGGTTAGGACAAGTTTTAGGGAGAAGACAATAAATTCAATGAAAATTTGATATAAGTACAAATTGTAAATATTTTAAAAATCAACTTGACTTTATTAGATTTTAAAAATCTAAAGAAACAAAAAAAACAAAAAAACAAGCAAACCCCAAACTTACCTTACAAAACTTCACTTCTGCCTCTAAATGATGAATGTATTGGGATTGATCATTAAAGATGGGAACAAGATCAAATAGGGCAGGCAAGCTGTTATTCTCATTTTCTGCTGTGTTCTAAGGTGAAAATCACATAGGTTAGCTATATTTGGATTGAGTAGAATATTAGCTATCATTCTTCTCATTCATTTGGTACTAGGACTTGATATAACCTGGACAAAAATAATGACTGCATTATTTTTTGTGTGTGATTTCTATATATTCATTCTAAAAACCTTGCGAATGGACAAAACAAGGAGGTATTGCTGTGAAGTTAAAGCAGCTATAAAATTGTTTGGACAAGCGCTATAAAAATGGTAGAATAGCATATGAATGTTATCAGTACTCTGCTAAAATTGGGTGGTGCAACCTTCTCCTGGAAATTACTACAGCACTGAGTTGATAGGACAGACTCATCCTCTGGTAACAAAATTTCCATTTGATTCAACATTTAGTAAGCTCTATTAGTATGAGTCACTGTGTTAAACAATATTGATACAAAGACAAAAATTAAATAGCTGCTTTCCTCAAGAAGCATATTTTTCTAGGAGAATGCATCCCTATGGCCTCTTAGTACAATGTTCTCTTTAAATAAGCGGCACAGCCCACTAGCCAATGTCATTAAGCTGAATTTCAGAAGCCATATTACTGAATGGTTTAGCCTCTAGCACTCTATATGTATACCACATCTAAATCTGTCTGACATTTGACTAATCAGCATTAGGAGAAATCAGAAAAAGAAGAGTCAACAGCAATTATCCATGCAACCTCCTACTTCTAGGCACCAGAGATCACTACCTTGGAAGTAGAGACTGCACACCACGGAAGTGGACATAACTCTTCTCTGGTATTTCTGAGAATTGGTGACCAAAATAAATAAATATTTGTGGTAACTATCATATGGCAACTAAATGCTATAATCTCAAATCAATGGAAAGGAATGATGTACAGTCCTTGCCAATAGGATGTAAACTTGTTAAGGAAATGGGCTGTTTGTTTTTATGTTTTTTTTGTGTGTGTGTCCCCAGAACTTAGCACGTGCCTGACATCTTATAGGTACTTAATGCTTGTTTTATTGAACTGTAGGCAGAGGATGTGGAATTGAATTCTTTTTTCTGCTAAGGAACCTTGGCAAAGTCACAAACTTTTACTATCTAATTTTCTTCATTTATAAAATAGAGTCATAATAGATGACCTGTAAGGTCTGTGGAAATTCTATACTCTATTAACAATTTAGGGAAAACCAACATAGATTTTTACCACTCTTAGTGAATATATATAGTCTAAGTTAATGGAAAAAAATATAATTTTTAAGAGCATATTGTTGAGGTCACATAAAAAAAATTTGTATGTTCCCTGAAATACCAACTACATTGGGAATACTTCAGTTTTTTAATGATCACTGGATTTGAGAGGAGAAAAGCAATGTTCAGGTTATCTCATCACATCTTTGTGTTTTAAATGTCAAAACATATAATCATTATGTTTAAACTGTCAACATTTGATTCCAAATACCCCATTTTCTTTATGCATGAGTAGGCATAAATCCATAATGTATTATCAAAATTATCATGCTTTCTTTTTGGGAACTTACGTCTTATCTCTATAACATCAGTTTTTCAAAATGTATCTTGGAAAAATGCTAGCAGATACGTCCAGTTATTTCAGGAAATAGAGTAATAACACATTAACCCATAAGATTACAAAGTTCACTTAGTATGTGCTTAAATATATTGCAGAAGGTACTTCACAGCCAAATACTTAGTGATAGTAATATATTGTCTGAATGACAAAAGCATTTTGTTTAAATTATTTTCTTAAATTATTATGCAGTCTTATTTATGTGAGATTTATCTTATCAATAATCTCATCAATGAAACACAAATCTCTAAACTAGATATTAAATATAGAATTGTAAGGTTAGAATGAAATGTTACTACAAGTTTCTATTATAAACCTTTTATCCCTTAAAAAAAAGAAATCAACATGTCACTGTGTCCCAGCATGATAATTCAAGGGATCAAAATGTTTGACACATTATAAAAAGGTATTCTAAAATATGACTAATGGAATATTTTATATGTATATAGAATGTCCTACCTTCCTAAAGTGCTTTCACATCAATTATTCAATCCTTAAAACAACTCTATAAGGAAGGCATGGCAGATAATCATCATCACTGTTTTTCAGATGATGAAATCAAGGCCCTAAGATATGAAGACTGATGTGCTTAAAGTTAAATAGCAGGTAAATGATGGATTCAGGACTCAAGCTTCAGAAGGCCTTCCTATTTCTAATTTCATGTTCTTTCTACTGTATACCTCTGCCTATTGACAAGAATTAAAATACACTGGGTAGGCAATTTGAAAACATTTAACTAAGGATAGGAGATGAACAATCTCATCAATAAATTCTGTACATGCTTCAATTTCATTTTACCTAGTAATCAAATTAAAAATTTATGAGGTAGGTTAATTTTTTTAGATTAAAAAAAAGAAGAAAAACCAAAAGCAGAAGGCCAAAAGGAGGGTATTTTGACTCTGAAGTTATCATCTCCCTACATAAGACTGAACAGCCCCCTCTTGGTTGGAGTCAGTTCCTCACTTGCCTTGGGTAATTTTTGACAAATAACAGATACTACATTGGGGATGGATGATAGACTGATGGTACTTAGGGATGACTGCATAACAGTTGACATAAATTCTAGGAGTACACTTGGAGTTAGCCTTTAAAAGGAGCTGACAGATTTGAGAAGGGTAGTCAGAGATCAGAAATGAGGACCTCGACTTTCTGTAGAAATCTAGATAGAACTTATACCCTGAGGTCTCCAAGGGGCCAGGATGTACCAAAGGGATATTGAAGGGCACCCAAAGATTGAACTTATGAGCTGGGGTTCTGGGACACGGGCTACCTACAGTTTAATTATAGACTTATGTTGTTGCTCATATTCTTCTTACAAGAATTCTAGAAGGCAGGACTACAGAAATTTAAAGCACTGGAATCCCTCCTTCAGAGACAAAACATAGAGGCTTCAGTCAAATATGTTGGAAGACATGAAAATGGCTTTTAAAAATATAAGTCATTATGGAGTTTGTGTTAGAATGTTAGGCTCAGAAATGGCAATCAACCTAGGTTACTGAAAAAGTGACAATGATTTTAAAATACAACTCTATGTTAAAAGAGAATCTATCAATTTTATCAAGTGTTCAAAAGAAATACAAACCGAAGGTGATATTTTCCTTCTTCTTGGTGAGGATACTTCATTTTCCTTGCTGCTCTGCTGATTTAACAAGGCTTTAAGTTGGCTAACTGAAGAAAAAAAAACAACTTATTAGTTCCACCCAAGAATAATAGCTGATCTCAGTCATTATAGCATCACAATCCCTTAATTTTCATCAGATTTAAATACCAACCAGGTACCTGCATGGCTATGATGTAGTTCATGCCAAGTAGCCCCACTCTCCTCAGTCCCGGTTTCACAACAGGACTCTTCATGTTCAAATTCATCTTCCCCAACTATATCACTTTCCTGAAGGGCACATTTCAGTTGGTGAATGCTTCTGTTGGCACGTTCTGCAACAAAAAATATGCTTTTACCCAGGGCCTACACAAGCTATAACAATTATGTAACTTGTACACCATAAGAGAAGGTAGTGTCTAGAAAGAAAGGTATTGTCTCTGGCACCTCTTTACTCAATCAACAGGCATTTATTAAGTGCCTGATACATGCCAGGCATCGAAGAGACAAAGAATTATAAAAAAATAAAACAAACAATTCTTGCTCTCAAGGAGCTCACAATCTAATGGGGAGGGGAGGAGATTACATTCAAATAATTACATACAACAAGGTATGTACAGGACAAATTGGAGATAATCTAAGAAGGAAGGCATTAGCATTAAGGGAGATTGAGAAAGGTTTCTTGAAGAAGGTGGGTCTTTATTTTTTTTTCTTTTGATTTATCAACAATCACTTCCATATGCTTTTGAGTTTAAAATTTTTCTCCCCCTTCCTCCCCACCACCCTCCCTAAGATGGCACACAATCTCATATAGGCTATACATTTACATTCCTATTAAACATATTTTCACATTAGTGAAGTTGTAAGTAAAAATTAAAACCAATAGGAGGAACCCTTCAAAAGAGGAAATAAAACTCAACAGAAGAGAAAAAAAATCATAGTGATTCAACTTCCATAGTTCTTTCTTTGGATGTGGATAGCCAAGACTTGAAAGAAGTCTAGAAAGCCATGAGGGAGAGAAGAGCAAGAGTTCCAAGCATGGAGGATAGTAAAAATGCATGGAAGCTAATGTCACTGGATTGCAGAATACATGGTGGTGGTGGAGGTAAACTTGGGAAAGGCAGGGGAAATAAATCATAATAAGAATAAAGACAGATATAAACAACTGGAGAGATATTAATTGCTCAAGGGTAGGACAAGCCAATATAATAAAAATGATAATTCTACCCAAGTTAATTTACTCATTCAGTGTTATGGAAATCAAACTACCAAAGAATTATTTTATAGAGCTAGAAAAAAAATAATAACAAAATTCATCTGGAAGAACAAAAGGTCAAGAATATCAAGGGAATGAACAGGGAAAAAAATGTGAAGTAGCCTAGCAGTATCAGATTTCAAACTATATTACAAAGTAGTAATCATCAAAATAATCTGTTACTGGTTAAGAAATAGAGTGGTAGATTATTGGAGTAGGTTAGGTACATAATATACCATAGTGAATGGCCACAGTAATCTAGTGTTTGATAACCCCAAGCTTTGGGGGCAAGAACTCACCATTTAACAAAAAATTACTGGGAAAATTGGAAACTGGTTTGGCAAAAACTAGCCATAATATCTCATACTATATACCAAGAAAGGTCAAAATGGATAAATAATTTAGACATAAAAAGTGATACCATAAGTAAATTAGGGGAGCACCAAAAAATTTATCAGATCTATGGATAAGGGAAGAGTTTGTGACCAAACAAGCGACAGAGAGGATCATAGGAAGTAAAATGGATAATTCTGATTACATGAAATTGAAAGAGGTTTTGTACAAAACTAACACAGCCAAAATCAAAAGGAAATCAGGAAACTGGTAGGGAGATTTTTACAAGAGTCTCTGATATAAGTCTCATTTCTCAAATATATAGAGGAACTGAATCAAATTTATAAGAATGAGTTATTTCCCAAATTATAAATGATTAAAGGATATGAACAGGCAGTTTTCAGAAGAAGAAATCAAAGCTATCAATAGCTACGTGAAAAAATGCTCTAAATAACTATTGTTTAGAGAAATGAAAAATTAAAACAACTCTGAGGCACCAGCTTAGCCAACTCTTATCACATTGGCTAACATGACAGAAAAGGACAATGATAAATTCTGGAGGGTATGTGGAAAAAATGGAACATTAATGCACTCTTGGTGGAGTTGTGAACTACTCCATTGTGAAGAACAAATTGGAACTATACCTAAAAGGTTATAAAACAGTGAATGCCCTTTGACCCAGAAATATTGCTACCAGGTCTGTATCTGAAAGAGATCAACAAAAAGGGAAAAGTTCTTATACATACAAAAACATTTACAGCAGTTCTTTTTGTGGTGGCAAAGAATTGGAAATTGAGGTGATGCCCAACAGCTGGGTAATGGCTGAACAAGTTGTGGTATAGGATTATGACGGAATACTATTGTGCTGTTAAGAAATGATGAGCAGGATGGTTCCAGAAAAACCTACAAAGTCTTAGATGAACTGATAAAAAATAAACAGAACTAGGAGAATATTGTACATTTTAACAGCAACATCGTAATGATGATCAACTGTGAAAGACTCGTAGCTACTCTGATCAAGACAATGACCCAAGACAATTACATGGCATCCATGACAAAAAATGCTATTTACCTCCAGAAAGAGAATTGATAAACTTTGAACACAGACGAAACATATTTTTTCCATTTTCTTTATTTTTCTTGTTCTTCTGTGTCTTTTCTTTTGCAGCATAGCTAATATGCATGACTTCATATGTATAAATGATATCATATTGCTTGCCTTCTCAAAGGGTGAAGGAGGGAGAGAATTTGGAATTCAAAATTTTAAAAAAGGAATGTTAATTTTTTCAAAAAAATGTAAGTGGGAAATATCTAATGAAATAAATAAAACTATATCTAAAAAGAAAGAAGAGTAGAAAGACAGGACTTGTTGTGAAGGGCTTTTAATGACAAACAGACATTTTATATTTGATCCTGGAATGAAAGGGAAACCACTGGAGTTTATTAAATGGAGGGAAAGGATGGCATGGTCAGACTTTCACTTTAAAGATAATGATGTAACAGTGGAGGATGGACTGCAGGGAAAAGAAATTCTAGTAGGCAAAGCAACTAGAAAGCTACTTCACCAGTCCAGGCATGAGGTGATGAAAGCTTGGACCAGAGAGATGGCAATGTCAGAGAAGAGAAAGGGAGCATATGAGATGCTATAAAGGGAAAATGGACAGGCCTTGGTAAATGATTGGATACGATGGGTGAGAGTATTAAGTTAACGATGACAACTAGTTTGGGAGCCTGGGAAAATGGCCGTACCTTTTACAGGGATGGGAGAGATAATGGGGAAGGGGAGAGTTTGAGAAGAAAAATGAGTTCAGTTTGGGACATTTTGATGTCAAATAGGCAAATGGAGATGTGAGACCAAAGGTCAAGAGAAAGGTTAGGGCTAGATAACCACATTTGAGGATAATCTGAATGAAGATGATAATCAAATATATAGGATTTGAAGAGATCAAGCATAATAATACATAGAAAGAAGATGGTCCAAAACACAGCCTTGGGAGATACCCATAGTTAGTCGTTAAAACCTGAAGAGCCAGCAAAAGAAACTGAAAAAGAGTGGTGAAATAGTTAATAAACAAGGGAGAACAGTGTCATGAAGCCCTAGAGAGAAGAGGGTGACTAACAGCGTCAAAGGCTACAGATTAAAAAAAAAGGCACCTCTGAATACTGAACTGATTAACTTGATAAATATTATTGTGTGGTAAGAAATAACAGAAGAGATAATTTCAGAGAACCATAGGCAGTATGAACTGATGCAAAATGAATTGAGCAGAACCAGTAGAACAATTTATAGAAATTGGGGTAGCAATAATAATGCCAAAACACAATACAAAAAAAAAGAATGAGTCATTGAAAAAAAAATTAATGCACCAAAAAGCAAAAAAGAAGTACTGACAAACAGCAGTTTTATTTTAAGTATGTGGCATTTAGTAAATATATATGTATATATTTATACACAAATACATATATTATACATTATTTAAAAACAAGTTATTAACTGGCAACTGACAACTTCAAATGTCATTATCTTTTTGTTTTCTTCTATGTATCTAGAAATGCTCATTTTTGTTGGTATTTAAATTCAAAATAAACAAACAAACAAACAAAATTTCATTAGCTGCTCTGGCCACTCCTGATGACTGTTAATGAGTAAAACCCTTTTGTATTTTTAAGCATGAGCTGTTTTCTGGCCAAGTCTCCTGATCAAACAGTTGTACACTAATTTTCTGAAAGCAAGTATAATGCTTTACATTTGTCCTTATTAATTTCACCTTGTTTGTATGATCTCACAATTCCAGTTCGTCAAGAGCTTTTTGGATCCTGATTCTGTCATTTAATATTGTATGTAGAGAAAATATTACTTGGTAGATACAGTTTATCCATCAATAAAGCATATGATTTAGGAATATTGTAAATCATTGATCTACAACTTTATCTCCAAACGACCTCACACGTAGAGAAATGCAGATAGGTGATAGCTAAGATAGCACAAGTAATAAGCAGCTATCACTGAAAATTCATCTACTTGCTAAAATCTAAGCTTTTTCTTAACATACAAGTACAAATTAAGATCGTCTAAAGAGATGAAAAAAGACTACAGAATGATGAAACAGAATTAAAGACACTAGATTAGGGGTAAAAATTAAGTTAATATCTCTTTCCTTCAAACCAAAAAACTCTTTGAATTAAATGAACAGACTTCACAATGAATACAGCAGTACTACAATACTGTAATTTGAATGACAATATATGCCCTAGTTTTTCTCAAGCTTTCATTTAAACTACTTTAAAAAAATGAAAATCTCTCAAAGAAAATCTTCTGACGTGTGTTAATTTACATATACATGTATATACACGTGCTTGCATAAAACACACACAGAATCATAGTAGAGAAAAATAAAAGTAGCCTACGCCTCTGTGTGGAGCCTTTCACTCTCTGACTTATTTTAACATTAACAAATCAATGAGCATTTATTCAAATTAATTAATTGGAAAGCATTTATTAAGTGGCAGCTATATGCCAAGCCCTATGCTAGGTAAATGAAGCAGTACCTGCAACTTCAGCAGGTACATATAAATATACATAAACTAAATAGGGGATAATTTTTCTGGTACAGAGCACTAGAAGCTTGGGTGGAGGGAAGGAAGGAATTATAAAAGGCCTCGTGCAGGAAGTGGTGCTTGAGATGACCTTGAAGGAAAATAAAGATTCTAAGAAATGGAGGTAAGGGAAATGCAATCCAAGCATGT